ACAGCGCTTTCCTATTTTCCTTCCTCCAGACGGATGTCAATGAAAAGCAGTCGCTTTTCTGATAGCTGAACGACTTAGCTTTCATTATGGGGCTGTGATATTTGGTGGTTGGCATTAGGATGGGGTGGGAATGGTAAAGGAGTGTAGCTTAAGGTGGTGATAAAACCAGATGGCTTTGAATCACAGAGAATATGTCTTATTTCAAAACACACTGGCTTACTCCGTGAGAAAAACATTTCAATATAGCCATTCTGTTGCATGATCTCATTTAGGTGTATGGATCAAATTGTGCTTACATTAATTAGTTCTTATTGAACCTTCATTTCTCTTACTAGCTGGATACTTAAATAAAGCCTGGTGCTGGAAGAGAGTTCTTCTGTGACAGTGCCTGTGCTTTTTTGTTTTCAATGTTGCAGTGTTCGAGAGGCCAAAGTGGGCCGATACTTTGTAACTCTCTTCACACTCATGCTGCCAGGCCCCTAAGAAACATTTTCTCCAACTCAGAGCATCTTTTCTGATAGGTTTGCTGAGGCGGAACCAGCAGCTACTGTACAAAAGCCTTGATGCAGACACATCTGCAGGGATGTGGCGGAATCTGCCAGGACGCCACCAACACCGCGGTGCAGGCACAGACATGCGCGTCCATGGCCCGGCCCCTCTGCGTGAAATCTCTGGTGCAATGGGGAAGATGGCAGGGACGTTTTTCAGTGTATTTGAAAAATGATGCTTTCGTTGTAATATTTAGAAGAAATTAGGTAATCAAGTAAAAATAGTAGTTCATTTGCTCCAACTGAATACATTACACACTCTGTCACGTGATGATGGATACTTTCGGCGTGATCTTGACTCAAAGATGAAATTATTGAATTATTTAGACACACAATGTTTCTATACAAGCACATTGTCATTGTCATTTATTTTATTTATTCCAAAGGCTTTTTTCCTAAACCTCCAGGTTGGCTCCTCTATGACTACCAACTGTAACTGGGGTGGGTTGACTTGTTTTTAATAATAATGGCAACAAAAAGCAAGGATCTGTTTTTTTAAGTGACATGATGATATCTGAACATTGATTTCTACATTTACATCTGAAGGCGACAACTATAGTAGTTTTCATTATTTCTGTGAAAGTATTTGTTCTATTCTGTGATTCAGATAAAGCCGTGACACTTTTTTAAAGTTACTGTGTATCTTTTATTCCCCTTATTGATTTTAGAGAGAGAGAGGAAGGGAGAGGGAGAGAGACAGAAACATCAGTGAGAGAGAACATTGATCGCCCGCCTCCTGCATGCCCCCCACTGGAGATCGGGCCCACAACCTGGGCATGTGCCCTGCCCGGAAATCAAACCGGTGACCTCTTGGTGCATGGGTCGACACTCAACCATTGAGCCACCAGCCAGGCAGAGTCCCTTTTCTTTAGGGGATGGCAGGTGTTTATCAGGCAGATGACCTAACTAATGGTGATCAGGAGATTCTTGATTGACTGGTTTAAGATTCCATTTCTGGGAAAGGTGAAATTGTAATTAAGTCTTGGTTTGGTGATATGGGGCCTAGCATAAAAGTGACTCTCCTTGGGTCTATTATCTTGTTCTTAACAGGGGTTATCTGAGGGTATTATTAATGGTGCTCAGATCTTGCCCCTATAAACTTCTGAAAGGTATCAAGATAGGATAATAAGTAAATTTTATCTCAAGGCCACAATAAAAACTACCTCTTCTTTCCTCTCTTTAATTAACTGTGTTCAAACAAATTCATCAGAATTAACATGATGCATCCTTATGGAACAGCAAGTAATATAGAGCCAGCAATAGAAAATGCTACACATCTCTAAGTATTGCTTTTGCAACATCCTACAAATTTTGATATGTACTATTTTTCTTATTGGTTAGTTCTAAATGTTTTGTAATGTTAATTATAATTTCTTCTGTAACTCAAGACTTATTTAGAGAAATGTTTACTTCCAAACATTTCAGGTTTTTCTATTACCTTTTTTATATTGATTTTTTTTTTTTTAACTTAACTGCATTGTGATTAGAGAAATAATCTGCATGATCCAATCCTTTGAAAAGTTGCTGAGACTTGCTTTAGGCTCAGTATATGGTCAGTTTTGTAAATGTTTTGTGAGATTTTTTAAAAATTGTGAATTCTCTAGGTGTTGGATACAGAATTCTCTATGTGTCCATTAGATAAAACAATTGATTGTATAAATCTTATATACTCTATTTATTTTTTGGTTTCCTTAAATATCAGTCACTAAGAAAAACATTAAAATATTCTCAGTATGATATTGGATTTATATTTCTCCTTGTTATTTAATATTATTTAGATGCATATAGATTTAGAATTATTTTGTTATTTTGTTACCTAGTGATTTAAATTATTATTATTAACTATTATTACTATTATATTAATTTCTAGTAATGCTTTTTGCTTGAATTCCTTTTTGTCTAATATTAACATTTATTTATTCCAGCTTTTTAATATTAATACTCCATATTTTTCCATTTTTTTACTTTAAACTTTTCTGCATCCTTATGTATCTTGAATAAAGCATGTAACTGGATTTTAAAAAAAGCCTTCTGATGACACCAAAAGCAGTACCAATAAGAAGTTATTTAAAAATGGTAAAACAAACTTGATCAAAATTTAAAACTTTTGCTCTTCAAAGGTGATCATTAGAAACATGAAAAGACAGTCAAAGACTGGGAGAGAATATCTGCAAAGCATATATCTGATGAAGAACTTATACCCAGAATACATAAATAACTCTTACACCTGAATAATAAAACAAGCTAATGAAAACAATTGGCAAAAATGGGCAAGAGTTAGTCATGAAGGAAATGCAAATTAAAATCACAATGAGATATTGTTGTACACTCACTAGACTGGTTAAAATGAAAAAAACCTGACCATTCTAAGAGTTGGGGAGGATGTGGATAAACCTTCAGAACTCTTAGGCATTGCTGGTGGAAATGTAACAGGATAGAGCTACTCCGGAAAACAGTTTTTTATAAAGTTAAATGTGTACTTACCAGCATCCCCACTCCTAGGTATCTACTCAAGAGAAATAGAAAGATATGCCTACAGAAGGACATGTATGAGATTGTTCGTAGAAGCGTTATTCATAATAGTCCCAAACTGGAAACAGTTCTATTCATTAGCTAACGCAGGGGTGAACAAAGTGTAGTATATCCCTACAGTGGAGTGCTACTCAGCAACCAAAGGGAATAAAGTGCTCTGATACAGATGTGAAAAAATCTTAAAACTGTTGTGCTAAGTGCAAGTCAGACACAGAAGATTACGTATTGTATGATTTCATTTACTATAGAAAATGTCTGGAAAAGATAAAGCTGTTGAGATAGAAAGCATTGCATGCTAAGGGCTGGAGAGGGGAATGAGGATTGACTACAAGCCGTCATGAATAACTTTTCGGAGTGACAGAAGTATTCCCAAATTGGATTGTGGTGATGTTTGCACAGATCTATAAATTTACTAGAACTCATTGAACTGTACACTTAAAATGGATGGATTAATAGTATGTAAAGTAGATGTTAATAAAGCTATAAAACATTATTTAAAATGAGTTCATAGTCTATCTTTTTAACTGGAGCATTTAGTCTATTTACTGTTTTTGTAATAATAGATATATTTGGATTTTTTTCAACAATTTTATGCTATTCTGTCTTTTCTATATTTCTTCCTCCCTCCAGCCCCGCCTTCCTATGGGTTATTTTCTTCCCCTAATTCCATATTTCCCTCTCTATTAACCTGGAAGTGATACATTCTACTGTTTTTTTGTAATGGTTGCCCTAGAAATGTCAACATGCATACTTACAAATCAAAGTCTAGAGCTAGTAGCTTTGCCCTTTCCTTGAACAATACAAGAAATTTAGAACACATTAACTATAAAACTCCCTGCTAATGTTGCAATTCTTAAACCCATAAGATGTTTGTTTGTTTGTTTGTTTATTTATTTATTTTTACCCTCACTCAAGGATATTTTTCTATTTATTTTCAGGTAGAGAGAGAGGGAGAAACAGAGAGAGAAACATTGATGTGAGAGAGACACATAGACTGGTTGCCTCCCGTACAACCCCAACCAGAACCGGGGACAAACCGCAACCAAGGTATGTGCACTTGGCTGGAATCGAACCTGGGACTCATTGGTCTGCAGGCTGATGCTCTACCACTGAGCCAAACCGGCCAGGGCACATTTTATTGTTTTATATAGTCAATATTTAATTATAGACATATGCACTTTTTTGTTGTCATTCCTTATTATAGCTCAGATTCTTCATTTCTCAAACAAAAATTTTTGTAGTAGTTAAGAACATGGTTTCTAGAGCCTAGTTTTTAGACTGCTTTTTATTTCTGCTTTACAAAATAGAGAAACTGAGCCAGAAGGATACCCAGTAACATGCCCAGGATCAAATCTAGTAAGTTGCAGAGGCAGGATTTGAATGTGCTAAGCCCTTATTATTATTATTTTTTAATTTTCAGATACAGTGGGAAGGAATGAGGGCTAGAGAGAGAGAGAGAAACCGGTGTGAGAGAGACACAACGATTGGTCGCCTACTGCACAACCCCGACCAGGGCTGGGCACCGAATGCCACCGAGGCACGTGCCCTTGACTGGAATGGAATCTGCGACTCTTTGGTCGGAGGGCCAACACTCTAAACGCTGAGCCAAACCAACCAGGGCTAAGCCCTTATATTTAAACCCAACAGCATCCCCTCCACTGTGAAGAGCTTCTGCAATCCATGGTCTAAGACATATTTTGTTGGCAAACAGACAAGAGCCCTTCTCCACTGTCAGCAAAAATATGTACAGGTTCAAATTCTCACACCTTAGGTTCATGAAATTCATAAAAGTCCTCTGAAAAGATGAATTTTATAAGCAAGTCACAGAAGACTTGAAATTCAGCTTTATGAATGCTTATAAAATAACTTTCTCTGTGTTTCTTGCATATGTATTATCTTGCTATAGGTAACTGGAACAGTCTTGCAAATGTACAGGACCAGACTTCTTCCGTCTGTGACAGACACCAGAGAGGTGTTACTGCACAGCCTCCTGAGTCAGAGGGGGCGCGCTGTCCCCAGCCTCCATTCTTATCTTCTCCTAGAAATGAATTTACAAGAGAGACTCCTGGTAATATTTGCATTGTGTTTAGTGAATTTATTTTAAAAATGAAAGTAAATTTATTAAAATATTAAAGCATGCACATTTATTAAAGAGGCAAACAAATCTACACATCTGACCTATGAAGTGCAGACAGGCTCTCACACCCTCTGAAGAATGAGCGCAGTGGGGGTTTCTGCTTTATATACTCTCTTCTTTATTAGATTTTAAAATTTCCTGCTAGATATTCTGGTACAAATTAACCCTGATGGGCTTCCCTTGTCTTTGTTATGGTTTTTCCACAATTTATGGGAAGCACCTGGCAATTAAATCCCCACTGTGGGCTTCCCTGTTTAAATTGTGGGATGTTTAAATTTGTGGAATGATGAAGCCCTCCCCCCTGCTGTGTTAATAGCTTCCAGAGCTTCAGGAGGATTTGTACTAAGTAGGATTCCTCCTCCTCCACTCCCCATTTCCTTCCCCCTCTTCTCCTGCATTCTTTTTGTAAGAAGAGGTCTTAATCCTTTGTTCTCCAGCTAAGGTCCTGCAACACGTGGCCTGCAAAACTTTATGGCTTTGTTTAATTTTCCTGCCCCAGTTTCCCTGTTTCCCTTGTCCCGGGATTTTTCTCGCTTTTCATTGTCTTATAACACACACATCTGCAGTTCTGTCTGGACTCTCTCCACCACGCTGCATTTGTTTCTGGGCAGACCAAGAGCAGACCTTTGCTCTGTAAAGAAAATCATTGTATTTCCCCAAATACGAAGTCATTTAGATATTGGTAAATCTCAGGGGAGATTGCATTATGGATTTGTTAAATACTAGATAGATTGTGAAAGCATCTCTGATGGAGCGGGTCCTTTCAGAAGTGTGGCTAACTCAGAACAGTCCTGTAGGTCTTCCAGGTTATCTACTATCTTTATAAGTCTTTCTACCATATCACAGGGCAGCATCCTGGACGCATTGGCTCTGAACTTTGCCTCTAGGTCCTTCTGGCTCAGTGGCTTCTTCCAGTGACCGTAGAAGGTATCAGAGCGCTCCACGAAGGTGGCTCCATCCTTGAGGGTGACACTTATCTCGCAGTACAGCGTGTTGAAGCTTGGCAGGTTGTCCCGAGGGTGCTCCAGCTCTACCTTACAAAGCAGCTCTCTTATCTGTGGCCTGTTGATCATCTGTTTGTGGAATGATGGAACCGTGACGTCACCATCAAGCAGCATGGCGCAGGCCACGTACTGGAAGGAGTGACGGGCTTCATGCTCCGAGTCTGGGAAAGGCCGGTTCACATACTGGACGTCTGGAGTTCTGAGTGTAATTCTCTCAATGTTGTCAATGGGAAGCACGGTTCTGTCTGTTACAAGGTGCTTTCTCACAGATGCAGCTGCGTCTGCCACCCAGTGGGTGGCCAAATGTGCAGGGAAACACTTGAAAGCCACGTCCTGCTGGTCCAGGAGCCAAATGTAAGAATCCAGGTTTGGAAGGACTTTGGGAGAATAGTTGTCATAGAAGGCCCCAAATCCAGTCTGCATGTCTAAGACCTGCTTGTTTCCTTGGAGATCCATCATTGCCAGAAAAACAGATTCTATCCCATGCTTGGCAGCATTGCCCATGTGAAGAGGCTTGGTCTGAGTGGCAGCATTTGCCATGGGTGCCCCGGCATGAGAAACAGCAATAGCCAAGGCCTCCTGGCACTTCGTCATGCTGAGCCCTAGAATCTTGGATGCAGCAGCAGCACTACCCAAAGTTCCTACCACTGATGGGGGATGGAATCTGAAAAGCAAAAAGGCAAAGAGTTGGAGATTTACAAACCTCAACCACCAGGAGTCTGTATAGTGTAGTGATCAGGAGCTTAGATAATGGAGCTGCACTGCCTGGGTTCAAATCTCAGCTCTTCCACTTCTTAGTGAGTGACTTTGGGGAAAAGTATTCAACTTCTCTGTACCTGTTTTCTCTTACATAAACTGGCAATAATAATAGTATCTACCTCATAGGATTTTGTGAGTTTTGAATGAATTTCCATGCTTACAACAGTGCCTGAAATTCTTTATAATTGATAATTTTACAATTATTGGAGAAAGGTGAAAGTTGTTGAAAGTCCATTTAAGTAACCATAAAAATTAAAGGTCATGTCCAGGCCAGTTTGGCTCAGTGGTTGGAGCGTCAGCCTGTGGACCAGAGTTGTGGATTCAATTCCAGTCAAGGACACGTACCTCGGTTGAGGTTCAGTCCCCGGCCCTGGTCAGGGTCATGCGAGAGGCAACCAATTGATGTGTCTCTCTCACATCAGTGTTTGTCTCTCTCTCTCTATCCTTCCCTCTTACTCTATCTGAAAATAAATGGAAAATATCCTTGGGTGAGGATTAAAAAAAAAACTAAGGGCCTTGGAGAAACTATAAAAGTTCATTCAGTATTCCAGTTTACACCTCTCCTAGCAGGCCGGACCATGTGGCGAGATAAGTACTGTATTGAGCCATATGATACAGCCAACATTTGACCGTTTTTGATCAATGGCTTGAGCAGTCAGGTTTAGGATATTCTATATGTTCTCATTAGTCTGAAGAACCCTAACAAACATCAAAGTAGATTCTGCTTTGACGGGATCAGGAATATTCAGAGTACCCACAGATGCCAGGATGACAGAAGTCACCTGGGGTGAGAGACCCCAATTCATTCCATGGTCCTGGTGGATTTTCTAAACCCAAAAGAGATTTCTCATGAGCACGTCTGAAGTCATACCTTTGTACATATGGTTTGACAGGTGACTGGTGACCTGATTTAGCTCCTAGCACTAATGTTAACATCTTCAGCTGAGCCAACCGTTACATCAGAAAGCTCCACAGAGGTCATGATTGACAGATAAAGAGGAACATGGCTGTCTGTTTATGGGACAAGTATTTCCATACTTTTTCGGTATGTCATTGGCTTCCTTGGAGAAATTCATTAACCGGCCTTGCACCTCAATCCCGACATTGAAAGCAAGCAGTAGGTCAAGGCCAGAAAGCCTTGCGTTTGGAGGCAGGGCTTCCGATAAAGCGGCGAGGACAGGAAGGACAGCTCCAGAAGGGTGGGTGGCAGGGTGCCAGGTGTCATCGAAATCCATTGAGTGAATCTACGTAAACAGACACAAACAACAACCAAAAACCAAAATGTATCTCCCCAAATGCAATGGCGTTTGGCCCAGTAAGCGCTTAGTTTAGTGATGACCTCGTCTGATGTGAGATTTTTAGATCGGATTCTCTGGAAATAACGTGTGATTCTTTATCACATAGCTGGGCACGGGGCATACTGTCCTCTGCCAAGAGCAAGCAGCACCTTGGGGACCAGCTAGTGAGTCCCAAGGATCTTGGGTCTTATTTAGGTGACCAGAGCTCTCTGCCACAGCCCCTAAAAAGATCTATATTTCGCCCTGGCCAGTTTGGCTCAGCGGTTAGAACGTCGGCCTGCGGTCTGGAGAGACCCGGGTTCAGTTCCCGCTAAGGGCACGTACTTCGGTTGCAGTTTGTCCCTGGCCCTGGTTGGTCGTGCGGGAGGCAGCCACTCGATGTGTCCCTTCACGTCGATGTTTCTCCCTCTCTCTCTCCCCCTCCCACTCTATCTGTACAAAAAATGGAAAAATGTCCTCGGGTGAGGATAAAAAAAATAAAAAATAAAAACTAATATATCAAAATAAACACTTTAAAAAAAAAAAAAAAGATCTATATTTCCCTTATAAACAAAGCTGTGGGATTAGGTAGCTGCTTCTCCTTCCCTTCCTCCCCAACCCATCAAACAAGTTGCACTAAAATGTTCATGTCATTTATTCCAGGACATATATTTTTGTATCTTTTATTATGAAATAATTTTAAACTTATGGAGAAGTCCCAAGAACTCTTGAAGCACTATTATGTACTAAGCTATACTAAATCATTATTTTCTCCTTTAAGGTTTTATTCCTCTTTATCCTAGCCATTTGTTTTCTTCGTACATGAACTATTAATAACCAGAAGTTCATTTAAAAATATTTTTTTTATGTCTACTGGATGTGGCCAGTGCATTTTCTACTGCTTATTGGACATTTATTTCTTAGATGCATCATTGGGTTTGACTTTCAATATTCTGAGCTACTGTCCCCCAAAACCATAAATACATCTCAGAAATCCCAACATGTTCATGTCCAAATAATATCGTGTGTTCTGACCTTGATAAACAGAAAAGGCATAAAAATTGTCTCTCAGACAAGAAATGCTGATTTTTGGTTCAGAAAATATAGATACCTTATAGCCATTATTTCTTTCTCAATAAATATTTGTGGAATGAATAAATTAATTGAAGGCCGATTACCGGATAGAAAGTGATACTGGCCACAACAAAAGGAATTGAGAAGGAATTGAGTCTGGATGTTGAGTTTTATGTTCTCTGCTATTTAAAGTTTAGAGTTGGGATACCTTTATGGGTGTTTTATCTAAATCCTATCTTATTTCCTCTACTTCACAATTTATTTGGAAAACATCAATTCACTATTAAAACGTGAAAACTGAAATTACTACATAGGAGAGAGGGCAGGGCACTTCATCTCTATGAATTTCAATGATGTCATCAGTAAAATATGAAAATTGGGTGATTTTAAAACTATTTTCTGGCTCTGAAAAGTATTCTACTTGTCTAACAATTTAAAAGACATGGAGCACTCCTTACAGCCACTCCGTTAACAAAAGCAGCATATGTCGGTGGCAGCCTGAGGGCTGGCCGGCCCCAAACCGTGCTGGTGGACGAGCTGGAGCTGTAGATCTGGAACAGAGGAACATCGATCAGTGACAGAGTGTGAGCATAGCACGCCAAGTCCCCACGTCAAGGGTGTTCTTCATCTTTAGAGGCATTACATGAATAGTCCTCATTGGAACCCATTGTGCTGTTAGAGCAAAGCCGACATCACTGGATTCTTCTCGTCCTTGTAAAACAATACACACTTTCTCCATGGAAGTGGGAAGAGAGGCTGTTGCTCAGTCCCAGACCACGATCCATATGTGCTCCAGGGAGTGGGTCTGAATTCACTCTTATTCTCTGCTCGTGGGTAAGTGCTGGGGACAGTGAACATGTCTACACCACGCACCTCTCCCACAGGCACCCCCACTGTCTGCCCAGAGTGCTGGCCCAGCCTCCTCCAGAGACTCCCAGAGTCTTGGCACGAACACATCATGGGGGGTAGGTGCACTCGCTTCTAAGACTCTCAGATAAAAAGTGCTTTCAGACATAATGGTAATAAACGACCAGATATTACTAGTGTGAAGACTGGTCTTAAGACAATGCCATAGTAAAATATACAGATGAATATTAAAACTTAGATAATAGAGCATATAAAAGCATAAAATGATATAACAATGCTGTACATCAAGTGCTGTCTCTGAATGAAGAGCAGAGCCGCAGAACACACACACCCATGGTACACTCGGGCACACTCATGAGCAGGCCTGTGTGCACACTTGCTTTATCTCTACAGCAGACACAGCTTCTTACTTTGCTATATTCGCTGGCTTTGTGGAACACCTCCGTACTGGTTCCCAGGAACCCAACGCCCAGCGTATCCAGAATCATCCTCTTGCTCCTCTGAATGACGTGATCTGTCAAGTGTCCCACGTGCAAGCCGTGGATCACTTTGGCAAAGCTTTCTGTGACAGACTGGAAAGGGAAGAGAGTTAGAACAGGGCCACACTCGCTGTGCATTTGCATACCTCCTTTGTACATGAGCACCTGAGGTACTTTTATGTAAGGAGTTTCGTCCCCAAGACTCTAGGGCCTAGAGGGAACTCAGTTGATCCAATTAAGTTTAATTTCTAAAAAACGATGTGTACCAAGTGCCTGGGATGTGGAAATACACAATAGGTTTCTGTGCTCGGTCAAGTTGAGGACACAGATTAGGAAGCAGATGATGACCACAGAGTATGGTGGGTGATGGGGGGTGAAGCACAGTCAGCAGGGAGGATGGAGAGACATCTTGCCCATAAAGCAGGCATACCTGGGTGAGGGGGGTGCATTCAGACAGCTGGTAACTGCCATTTTAAGTACGTACCAAGTGTTGTGCGAACCTTTCAAAATACACTATCCATTTAATAGTTACAAATCTCTAGGTAGGTATTTGTTGTGCGTCGCCCTTTGCAGGCGAAGAGAGCGAGACCGAGAAAGGTAAGGTCACTAAGTGACACAGCTTTTACAGGATGGAGTCTGAGCACAAACCCCTACGGGTCTAACTCAAGCTGGTGCATCTAGCTGTCAAGGCCCCGTTTCTTACAGTGTCGTCAGAGACACTTGGGGTTCCTGTTGAAAACGGACGTTCCTAGTTCCCACTCCCGACCCCCGAATTGGAGCCTCCCGGCCACGGAAGCTGTGCAAACACAGCCCAGGGCCCTGTGTTCCCACGAAGACGGCTAGGTGGCTCCCTGGCGCTGTCTCTCCACGTGTGCTCGTGAACATTTGAAACGAGTCCAAATTGAGATCCACCATAAGGGTAAAACACTGGATTCCGAAGGCTATTGATTACATATGGAAATGCAAATGTTTGGAATATACTGGTTAAATGAAACATATTATTAAGATTAATCCCCTCAGTTTCTTCTCACTTTTTACAACATGGCTACTGGGAGATTTAAAAGAGCGCTTGAGGGCCACTGCCTGCTCTTTGTGTTGGTGGACACCCGGAGGCACTGACACCCGGGCTGGTCGTGAACGTCTGTGGGACTCAGCCAGGTGCCGGTGCTGGGGATGACATGAGGGTTCAAGGCAGAGGCAGAGGTAGGCTGGGGCTTGGAAGTGTGAGGGGTGCAGCGAGTTTGGCAAACTCCAGCCGCAGAGCTGCGTGCCCTGGTCCGAGGTGAGAAGGAGCATGTTGCAGGCTGGGACTGACTGGTGGAAGTTAGTTGTGCTGAAGACCAGGACGTCGATGGGGAGCTATCGTGCTGTCTTAGGAAAGGTAGGGATCCGTCACAGCTGTGTTTTGGGGACTCCCCAAGATGGCAGCAGCGTAGCTGGAGACGGAGGACCTTCCCTTCCATCCAGGGGTGGGATTTACAACTAAAACACTTCTCAACCAACTTGCAGCTGATTGGGCACACTGTATCTAAGGAGACTGGTAAGAGGCGGAGAGTTTCGGAAAGGGGGAGACCCCTGTAGCCAGTGCAGTGGGCCCCAGTCCATGATATGGGCTGTGAAGCTCCTCCCTTTGGGAGTGTGGGGTCTCCGCTCCTCGCTGGGAGCCCTCACCCAGAGCAGCAGACACGGGCAGAAGGGCACGCACAGCGCCCGGCAGAGGGAACCAGGGTGGTTCTGTCGGCCTGGCAGGTGGGCCGCACCTTTCCAGGGAAGGAGCGCTCCTCCCGTGAGCGCCCGAGATTCCGTGTGGAAACTGATGGCTGGAAGAGCTGCGCCCTGGCGCTTGGGCTCAGTGGAGTGGCCCGCAGACTGCACCCAGAAGTCACTTTGAGGGACCCTCTTCTTTCCTGAAAGGCATTGGGCAGAACCCCAGTAAGTGCCTAAACTGTGTGGTGCAGGGAAAGGGGAAAAGGACCCACCTGGAGTGCAGGGTCTGGACCCCTCCGCCCACCAGTGGAGCCCGCTGGGCTGCCCCCTTCCGCTCGGTTGTTGGCACAGGGCAGCAGTGCAGGTTAGGGAGTTTGGGCCCATACTGAAGTGAGTTCTCCGCATGAGTAGAGCTGGGAATTTCGCCTCCACTTACCCGAGACAAGCCTCGGGGAGGGATCATAGTTCTGGGCGGGGATAATTTTCCAACCCCTCCCACTCGGACAGGTGGTTCCCGAGGGCATAGGTTCTGCCAAATGCTGGGGGACTTCTACCTGGGAGATAGCTGGGAGGGTGCTGGGCTCTGTGACTGCAAGGTGGGGGGGCTAATCTGAGCCCCCTGTGCGTTTCCCTAGGCAGCCCTGGGAAGGAGAGGTAGGGCCGGTCTCCCTCTCCTGCCGGCTGCAAACACCACCCCCACCAAAGGATTGATGGTTCAGCTCTGTGAAATCCTGGATACCCCCACTCCCTCCACTGGGTGCACTTCTGTGGGGAGAGCGGCTCAGAGCAGGACATTCCAAGTGTGAGATCCTCAGAGGGTATTTTCTTGGAATGGGAAGAAGTGCTCTGCCCCTTCCTGAGGGCTGGGACCACAACATGCCCAACCAGAGATGCTTTCGATCAATCCCCCTAGGCCCAGGCAGCTGTACCGGCCCCTGCAAAGGAGGCTGCAGGCCGTACCCACCTGATCCTGCAGCAAGTCCTCCTAGAGGGAACCAGAGTTGGAGTCTCTGGTAGAGACTGAGAGATTTGGCTTTGAAGTAGAGACTAATGTCCCCTCACTGAGTGACTACATAATGTCCAAGCAGAGGGCCCACTAGCCCGAGCTAGGCTAGCCTGGGTTCATCCTGTAGCCTCTTTTCTGAAGGCTGTGAAGGAAGATGAGGCAACCTCAGGTGGAAGGTGGAGTAGCTGAGAGGGACACGGACCTTAGGGAGCCTGCTTCTGTCCACAGATCTACCCCAAGTTCTAAGCTAAAATAAGATGACCCATTTACACAGATTGGTCCTTTTCCAAACACGCAGGTCTAACAGATGCAGACACAAATAGTGAACAGAGTGGTAATTACACATAGGCAGCCCAAGGACAGTTAAACACAACATCTGACAGAAACCTGCATCTGAAACCCACCTAAAAGGACCCAGAACCAACACAACCAGTGGTGGGCCTCAGACCACACCGGAGCTTGACCCAACTAGACACACAAATTGCACACCCAGAGGTGAATTTCAGCAGGCTCCATACCCTGCTGGAAACAACCTTGCCACTGGGGGCAGCCCTTGCACAGCAACTCATACATGGTGATAAATGTTAACCTCTATGGACACCCAGCCAGAAGGGTTAACAGTTGTGACCTTGAGACTACACCTGCACAGTAGTTTGCACACCTGGGGTGGGGTTAAGCCTCATAGTCAGCCAGCCTGAGGGTCGATCCCAACTGTGAAAGGGCCATCAGCAATCAAGACCCAATTATAACTGGAGGGTCCAAACAACCCACACAAGAAGCATTCCTAGAGCACCTAGCTCAGGTAATCGAGGATAATGCACTGCTGGGAGCCACAGGACACCTACTACTGAAGGCCACCCCACCAGGACTGGGAGTTATAGCACTGCTGTCTAAAACATAGAAACAAACACAAAGAGACAGCCAATATGTGGAGACAAAGAAGCAGGCCTCAAATAAAAGAACAGAAGGAAACTCCAAAAGAAGAGCTAAATGAAACAGAGGCAAGCAATTTGTCAGATAGAGAGTTCAAAGTAATGGTTATAAGGATGCTTAAGGAACTTAGGGAGAACAACAACAGCATGACGAAGAACTTAGAAACCATGAAAAATAACCAGGTGAAATGAAGAATGCCATATCTGAAATACAAAATTCACTGGAAGAAGTAGTAAATAGGAGAGGCAGAGGATCAAATTTGAAGCCAAAATAGAGAGAGAAAAAAAAATCACTCAATCAGAACAGAAAAAAGACTAAATAATTAAAAAGCAGGAGGATAGTTTAAGAAAACTTTGGGACAAAATGAAACATAATATTTGCATTATAGAGGTACCAGAAGGAGAAAAAAGTGAGCAATATTTGAAGAAATAATGACAGATAATTTCCCCAGCCTGGTAAAGGAGAAGGTGACACAAGTTCAGGAAGTACAGAGAGTCACAAACAAAATAAGTACAAAGAGATCCACACCAAGACAGATCATAATTAAAATGGCCAAGATTGAACACAAAGAGAGACTCCCAGAGACAATAAGAGAGAAACAGTCAATTACCCATAAGCAAGTTCCCATAAGGCTGGCAGCTGATTTCTTTACAGAAACACTCCAGGCCAGAAGGGACTGGCATAAAGTATGCGAAGCAATGAAAAGCAAGAACCTGCAACCAAGACTGCTCTATCCAGCAAGGCTATCATTTAAAATAGAAGGCGAAGTAAAGAACTTCCCAGACAAAAGAAGACTAAAGGAGTTTATTGCCACCAAACCAGAAATGCAAGAAATGATAAAGGGACTGCTTTAAGAAGAAAAAGAAACAGAGAAACATAGGCATAAAAAAATGGCAATAAGTAAATGTAGATGGATTAAATGCTTCAATCAAAAGACACAGAGTAGCTGAATGGATAAGGAAACATGACCCATATATATATTGTCTATAAGAGACTTGCCTTAGAATAAAAAATACAAACAGGCTGAAGGTGAAGGGATGGAATAAATATTCTATGCAAATGGAAATAAACAAACAAAAAAAGCTGGGGTAACAATATTTATATCTGACAAAACAGACTTCAAAACAAAGGCCATAGCAAGAGACAAAAAAGGTCACTACATAATAATAAAGGGATCAATCCAACACGGGGTATAACCCTTATAAATGTATATGCATCCATATGGGAGCACCTAAGTACATTAAAAAAAAACTTTTAGTGGCTGTTAAGGGAGATATCGACAGCAATACAGTCATAGTAGAGAATTTTAATACAGCACTATCATCAACAGATAGATCTTCCAGACAAAAAAAAATCAACAAGGAAACAGTGACCTTAAATGACACAGCCAATCAGATGCATTTAATTGATGTTTACAAAACATTTTATCCTAAAGTAGCAGAATACACATTCTTATCAAGTGCACATGAAACATTCTCAAAGATAAACCACATGTTAGGACACAAAATAAGTCTCTAAAAGTTCAGAAATACTGAAATCATATCAAGCATTCTCTCTGACCACAACATCATGAAACAGAAATCAACCACTATAAAGAAGCTCAAAATACCCAAACACATGAAGGTTAAATGGCATGTTATTAAACAATAAGTGTGTTACCAATGAAATCAAGGAATAAATCCCAAATTACCCGGAAAAAATGAAAATGAACACAAAATTAATGGTACACAGAAAAAGCAGTCCTGAGAGTGAAATTAGTAGCATTATAGGCCTACCTTAAGAAGCAAAAAAGTCTCTAGTAAACAATAACCCCATACCTAAATGAATTGGAAAGAAAACAGTAGGAAGAGCCCAGAGTAAGTGGAAGGTACAACATAATAAAGATCAGAGCAGAAATAAATTACATAGAAACTAAAAACAAAAACAAAACAAACGAACAAACAAAAAAGCAAAAGATCAGTGAAACCAAAAGCTGGTTCTTTGAAAAGATAAACAAGATTGACGAACCTTTAACAAGACTCGTCAAGAAACAAAGAGAGCAGACCCAAGTAAATATAATCAGAAATGAAAGAGGAAAGGTATCAACTCACATGACTGAAATACAAAGAATTGTAAGACAATATTACAAATAACTATATGTCAGCAAAACAGACAACCTGGGAGAATGGATAAATTCCTAAAAACATAACAGTCTTCCAAAACTTAATCACAAAGAAGCAGAACACCTGAATATACTAATAACAACTAATGAAATCGAAGCAGTAATCAAGTCTTCAGCAAACAAAAGTCCTGGACCACGTGGCTTCACAGGCAAATTTTTCCAAACATTCAAAGAAGAACTAACACCTATACTCCTCAAACTATTCTAAAAAACTCAAGAGGAAAGATTTCCAAGCTCTTTTTATGAGGCCAACATTATCCTAATACCAAACCAGATAAAGACACAAAAAAGAAAAAACATTATAGGTCAATATCCCTGATGAATATAGATGCTAAAATCCTCAACAAAATATTGGCAAATCAGATCCAGCAATACATTATAAAAAATTATATACCATGGTCAAGTAGGATTTATTCCAGGGATGCAGGATTGGTATAATATACATAAATCAATAAATGAGATACATCACATAAACAAAATGAAAGATAAAATCACATGGTTATATCAATAAATGCACAAAAAGTAGTTGACAAAATCCAGCACTCATTTATGATAAAACTTTCAGCAAAGTGGGAATAGAGGGAACATACTTCAACATAATAAAGGCCCTATATGAAAAACCTACAGTTAACATCATATTCAATGGACAAAAACTACAAGCATTTCCCTTAAGATAAGGAACAAGGCAGGAACGTCTGCTTTCACCACTCTTATTTAACATAGTGCTGGATGTTCTAGCCATAGTTTTCAAACAAGAAGAAGAGATAAAAAGGCATCCAAATTGCAAAGGAGGAAGTAAACCTATCATTATTTGCAGATGACATGATATTACATATAAAAAACCCTAAAGACCCCATCAAAAAAAACCTACTAGATTTAATAAATGAAATCAGCAAAGTTTCAGGATACAAAATCAATACCCAGGAATCCAGGCATTTTTTGTTTGTTTTAAATCCTCACCCAAGGATATTTTTCCATTTACTTTCAGATACAGTGGGAGGGAGCAAGAGAGGGAGAGAGAGAGATAAACATCGATGTGAGAGACACATCGATTGGTTGCCTCCCACACAACCCCGACCAGGGCCAGGGACTGAACCACAACTGAGACCAAGTTATGTGCCCTTGACCGGAATTGAACCCGAGACTCTTTGGTCCACAGGCTGACACTCTAACTGCTGAGCCAAACCCTCCAGGGCTCCATGGCATTTTTATACAGCAATAATGAACTCTCAGAGAGAGAAACTAAGATAACCCCATTTACTATGGCAACAACAAAAAAAGGTACCTAGGAATACATTTAACCAAGGAGATAAAAGACCTGTCCTTGGAGAACTATATGACATTGAATAAAGTAATTAAGGAAGATACAAACAAGTGGAAGTATGTACCATGTTCATGGATTCGAAGAATTAACATCATTAAAATGTCCATACTACCCAAAGCAATCTATAGAATTCCTATTAAATTCCAATGTCATATTTCATAGAACTAGAAAAAATATTATAAAAATTTATATGGAACCAAAAAAAGACCCCAGATAGTTGCAGCAATCTTGAGAAGGAAAAACAAAGTTGGAGGTATCACAATACTGGATTTCAAACTATACTACAAGGTCATTGTAATCAAAACAACCTGATACTGGCATAAGAACAGGCATATAGACCAACAGAACAGAACACAGAGCCCAGAAATTAACCAGAAGATGCAGGAAATAGCTAAAGAACATATACCCCATGGACATGGACAAAAATTTGATAAAGGCCAAGGCAGAGGGAGGGTTGCGGTGGGAAATGTGGGCCCTGCAATAATGTCAATGCTAAAAATTTTAATTAAAAAAAAAAGTTCAAAACAACAACATAAAGAAAAGCTCTCTGTAGGCAGAGATGGAATTTGAGATGGGTAGATGAGGGAAACAGCAGTGTCCTTTGCCAAGGGAGGGTACACAGGATGAGGAGCAGGCTTCCGGCAGTGGTGACGGGCTCAATGTGAACCTGTTGAATGTGAGGTGCGTGTGGTCATCCTGGTGGAGGAAACCATTCTGCTTCTAACCCACAAATCAGATCATACAGGCCTGTGGGATTACCTGCACTTCCTAAGCAGTGAAGTACTGTGCAGTTTCTTTAACTATCAGTTTCTTCAATGCAGAGACACTTATTTTATTTTCTACGTATCTTACAATAGAACACCTATTATGTACAGTTTTAAAAAAATCCACTCTTAAGTTGTGTTTTACTCTATGTCTAGCACTTAGTACTGCTTAATAAATGTCAGGTCTCTTCCTTCCCTGCTCTGATTATTGCACCACTGTACAACTCACTTTGTCTCTTTGAGAATCAGATACCTCGTTTTGGATTAGAGGATCTAATCCGTTGTTGGATTAGAGGATCTGGGGTGTCTGGGATGCTCCGACACTAAATTCAGTGCCCAGGCAGAGATAAAAAGATGCAACCAGTGCCCAGCTGAAAGGCCTTTCCACCTGGCCACTGCCTAGTCCCACATTTTCAGTCTCCAAATTATCAAGGCAGGAAAACCCTGCCATCTTCAAAAGAATGGGCTACTTATTATATCTCTGAAACTTTGTTATAAAGGTGAATGAGCCTGGCCAGTGGCTTAGTTGGTTCAGTGTTGTCCCATGCACTAGGAGGTTGCTGGTTCGATTCCAAGTTGGGGCACATGCCTGGGTTGCAGGCTCAATCCCTAGTAGGAGCCATGTAGGAGGCAGCCGACTGATGTTTCTCTCTCACAGATGTTTCTGTTTCTTTCCCCCTCTCCCTTTCTTTCTCTCTAAAAATCAATAAAAACATATATTTTTTAAAAAGGTGAATGAGTTGGGTGTGGGAGAAAGCAGGATGAAGATCTCTGGCAGACAGAGAGGCTGCTGGCTCAGAAGTTTCGGATTACAATGGAGAATAACCATAACTTTGATTTCATGCTGCTAAAAATTTGAGTAAACCTATTTAAGAGCAGAGGAAGGGCAGGATGAAAGAGAGCTGGTTTGATGACTGCCAAGTAAAACAGTTTCCAGTACTAGTTGGATCCTTTGCTCTAAGCAAAGCTGCTTCTTTTCCACCTCTCGACCCGCCCCACATTCCCCCAGGAGAGGACAGTTAGTGGTTGGCTGTTCATCTCTTCAGGGTTAGGTCTGGCCTGGGATCCGTGTGGGGGACGTATAGTCCTGGGGAGCATGTGTTGGTGGGGTGTCAACACAGAACCCAGAAGGTGATATTGGTATCCATCTTCATGGTCCCCTGTCACCAACACCTTATGAAAGTAGGGCTTACATAAAAAATATGGGGTAAGTATGGGGACCCCCCGACAACCACCCACATCTGGCAAAGGACAGATGCCCTCTTTCCGGGCCATAGGAAGCATGAGGATATGAACATGCAGCTGCTCAGTGGTCTATAGACCTTGCCCACCTATTTCTAAAATAACATTTTGGCCTTCTTGACTTTCTCCTGGTGTTTACATCTCTTTTTATTTTTATTTTTTTTATTTTTTGGTACGAGCCCATAGCGGGAACCGAACCCTGAACTCTCTGGTCTTCAGGCCAATGCTCCAACCTCTGAGCCAAACCGGCCAGGGCTACATCTCTTTTTTGTAAAATACTGTGATAGAGTATAAATTAAAGCAAAACATACAGTCATTTAATAAATGTTTCACAAGTTCTTGCTATGTGTCTGGCACTGTGCCAAGGTCTCTAGAATAATAAACCAAAGTATTTTGGTTCTTGCTACAGAAAACTTACCTTCTCTGAGGGACTAAGGACAATAAACATATCATTAGAAATACAATCTGGAGATGCCAAAATTAACACATACAAAACTAGGAGGTTAAAATTCAATGAAACTAGAGTTATTCATTTTCTTCCTAGTTTTATACAACAGATTCATGTCTATTATTGGTAAAACATTGATTTAAAAAAACAAGACGGTATGAGAAACAATAAAATGCCATTTTTGAAATAGAAGCAGGTAGTTCTTAAAAGGAGAGGCTATACCTAGCCAGTGTGGCTCAGTGATTGAGCATTTACCCATGCACCAAGAGGTCATCGGTTCTATTCCTGGTCTGGGCACATGCCTGGGTTGTGGGCTCCATCCCCAGTGGGGGTGTGCAGGAGGCAGCCAATCGATGTGTCTCTCCCATTGAGGTTTCTATCTCTCTCTCTCTAAAAATCAATAAAAACATATATATACATATATATACACACACACATATATAAGGGACAGGGCAACTGAAGAAATTGAGAAAATAAGAGGTAAGCTAGAAAACCAATTTAAATAAGCCACATAAAATATAACACTACCTTGAGCTTCATGGTCTGGAGAAGAGGTTATCTCAGCGGTGAATCCAAGGAGTGATTTGTTTTCTGTGTGACTGCCTTTTATACCCTCCATTCCTCTCCAACGCAATCGCTTTCTCTTTGTTCTGACCCTAAAATTTCTTCCATTTCAACACTTCCCAATCAAACTTTTTTTTTAAGTCACCAGTGGTTTCCAGGGAGATAATGCATGACCTAAGATATGCCTGACCACAAAGACGAATAGTAACCCTGACGCAAGCCAGTCTTTGTGTAACCAAGACAAAGATTAACTGCATACCGGCAGTATACGGGCGGCACGGAGCTGCTGCTCTTCCCACCCTTCCTCCCTTTATCAGTCGTCTGCTTGGGTCAGAACTTCAGAAATGGATTTTGGACATGAATCCACCATATTCCCAGGCTGCCAGCGTCCTTTCCACCCAACACCTGCCTCTCAAATGTTGGCTTTCAAGCAGTGAATAGCTGGGTTTGTAGGCAACACTGTGTCAAAAGTAGAAAAATATTCACTCCTTTATCTGGGTATTACGCTTCTAAAAACGTATCTTAAGGAAATAAGCATGGATGTATGGAAATTTGGGTAAAAAAATAACAAAAAACAAAAAATAAAATGTATAGCCTTGCTTATACAGTTAAAAACTGGAAACAGTCAGTTTCGGGTCAAGATGAGGAAACTCACCTCCTCACATGACCACATGAAAATTAAAACTAAACTGAAGAACAATCAACCTGGATAACCATCTGAAGACGAGCTGACAGAGTCCTGTTACTAAGGACATAAGGAAGAAGCCATGTCGAGACTGCTAGGAAGGGCGGAGACACAAAGTGGGCTGGTCCGCACCCACGTGTAATGCTGGAAAATCTGGAGGAATATCTCAGCTGCAGAGGTCCCGCCTGAGGCGCAAGGCGTCTCAGCTCCATGCTGGGCTCCCCGGCCTGGAACACCAGTGCAGGAAGAGGAGCCCACATAACATCTGGCTGTGAAACATCCAGGTAGGTTGTAGGCTGTTGGGAACCCAGGCATCCTCTTAAAGGGCCACCACAAAGAGGCTCACCTGCAGGGATTCACCTTGGGATCTAGCAGAGGGACAGTGGCTTGGGTCAGAGGGCACCAAAGACATGCAAGGAGAAACTAAGTTGTGTGGCTTTGGGGTGCAGGCTGGAGGGATGGCCACCATTGTTCCCCTGTTGAGCCGTCGCCCAACACGACCAAACTTGAATCTGCATCAGCCTGGTGAACCCTGTTAGCTCCCTTCTGACGACTCCCTGAGACCAAGCCCAGCACAAAAGTCCACAGGCACCAGTTGGGTGGCAGCTAGGCTCTGTGTACCCTGAGACTTTCAGTGGCAGAGCCTATGGGCAGCCAACAGGCAGTGTCAGGTCTCAGGGTGCCTTGGCCCTTTTGATGACTTGCCCCAGTCCCAGTTTGGGTGGCAGCCAGCCTTGGTTTGCAGCATAGCCCCTTCCATGTACATCCTGGCCCAGCCCAGGCAGCGACCATATGTGGATGGCTTTGTAGCTCCTTACAGGTAGCCCCAGGTCGGTCACAGGCAATGTCTGACATGACCTGTACTGGAGTCCCTCTCAAGAGGCCCCAGCAGAGCGATGTCTCAGCAGTCACAGGAACCCACTGGGGAGAATCCTACTCTGTGGGGTCAGTCCCCACACAGCAACTCACATGCTGCTGTTGTGGCTGATTCACACAGCCAGACAGCCTGAGGTGCACCCACTGATGTGCCAACAACACTCAGCGCTCGACAGGAGGTCATACGCAACCCACACAAGGGGCGCTCTGCGCGCTCCTGGTTCAGGTAATCACAGAGACAAAAACCATATGATTTCACTTATATGTGGAATCTAAAGAATAAAACAAACAAAACAGAAACGGACTCATAGATACAGAGAACAAAACTGAAGGTTGTCAGATGGCAGAGAGTTGTGGGGCTTGGTGAAAAAGGTGATGGTATGAAGAAGTACAAATTGTTAGTTACAAAATAGTCGTGGAGATGTAAAGTACAACATAGGGAATATAGTCAACAATATTTTATAACTATGTATAATGCCGGGTGGGTATTCAAATTATTGGGAAGATGACTCAATTATATAATTATCTAACCATTATACTGTACACCTGAAACTAATATAAAATAACATTGACTGTAATTGGAAAGTAAAATATAAAAGAGGTAAAAAAAAAAAAAAAGAAACAGTTAAATCCATGCAAATAGTGGATTGGTTAAGTTAAACGTGACTTGTACAGTATTCAAGGTACAGTCTCAGCTTTCCCTTCCGCTTCATCTCTGCTTGTCACCATTGTCTCAGGGACAAATGTGCCGGCCAGGATTTCCTGGTAGCCTGAGATGAAGAACCTAGAAGGACATTGAGAGTCAATCACACTTCTTCCCAGCTTGTTCTCTTGTTTGTTTCTGAACTGCATTGTCCATATATGCAGATCTCTGGTTCCTGGTCCTCTGCTTGGCTTCTGGGATATACCCGTCTCCCTTACTCCCTGCTGTTGCCCAAGTCTGCTTCAATGTAGCTTGTCTAAGCCTCTTCCCTGTAATCAGTCACTGTGGCTTGGCTTGTCTGGTCTGGACCTAGCTCTGCTCCTGTGGGGAACTGTCATTTCTCTTGGGCTATCTGGTCCTGAACATTTGGTGGGTAAAAAAGCAGGTTATTTAATATTTGAGCCTGTTGCTCCAGATGTAGTGGCAGAACATCTTTAGGGAAGACTGCATTTCAAGTTTAGAGGAAATATCCATGAGACTTGCTGTTCTCCCCCAGTCCTACCAGAGAAGGGAGGGTTTGGGACAAAGGAACCAAACTGCTCTGCATTTAAATGTGAAAGGTTATCTTTCTTCTGGGCAGGGCATGTCTCTGGAAGGAGGTTAGTATTTTTCTTCTCTTGGTTGGAGCCTGTGGAGAAAGAGTGTTGAGGCCCTGGAGATAGGGCCAAGGAAGGGGCACTGCTTGGGGTGGGCAGTAATGCCCTGATTACAAGCCAGAACCACATGGGTAGGTGAGGGAGGTGGTAAGCAGGGTATCCCATGTGGAAGGACACAGGCAGACACATTTAAGGATCAGTGAGATCAAATGTCTAATTTGAACTGTTTCTTCACAACATAATCATTCCTTATGTGATCCTTGGAAAACTTTGTTGCAAGCTATGCTAGCGTCAGCCATGCTTTGGAGAACGAAGCCTTGAGCAGTTGTCTGTGTATGAAGGGCCGGAGCAAGAAGCGCCAAGTGCCGATCAGAGGGATGGGAAATGTAGGTACTCTTTGGTTATCCTACATAGTTTTTTTATTTTGTACATGCCCCTAGCGGGAACCGAACCCGGGACTCTCTGGTCCGCAGGCCGATGCTCTAACCACTGAGCCAAACCGGCCAGGGAGGTTAACCTACATAGTTAAGGAAGAATCAAAGGAAAGGGGAATGATTGTGCCTGATGGTCTATGGAAGAGGGACTTGGAAAGAAGAGGATTTGGGGACCTTTGGATTCTACTCTTAAGCCAATTGTTGCTTAAAGTGGACTTTCCAACTACGGTACAGGTTGGGAAGACTCAGAACTAGGTTCAGTATGGGTACACATGGGGGCTGTGTGCATCAGGGTACAATTTCAGGTGATCTTTATTTTGTATCAGTGGACTCCAAATCTACCCGTGGAAGGGTGGATTTCCGTATTCAAAGAGTAAGTGGGTATTTGGGGATGGGGTGCAAGAAGGGTATTTTCAGGCCATTTGTATAGACTCCAGAAAGTAAGAACACTCACATGACAGATTTTGTGATTTATTGCTGCATGGTCTACATAAATTGGTGTTGAAAGTAATCTCACCCAGTTGAAAGAGAATAAACATATGGTTTGACAAACACTTAAAATAGAATAATCATAAGCATTTTCCCAGATGGGAGTTCTGGAGTTTTCAGTTTAAATGTCTACACTTAAGACATTTAGAGATTCCTAAGACCACTTTTACATAAACATGAAGAATGGGCTATGATGACCTCAACCATGTCACCGTGAACAAGCTTGATAAAGGAATGAGGAACTTTGTCAAGTCTGGTGAGCTTTCGTGGAAATTCGCTCATTCAGCTTCTCTGGGCCTCAGGTTTTGCCGCTATTGACTTCAGAAGAAAAGACAGTTTAACTATTTGTAGGTTTAATTACTTTGTACTTTTTATGGAATTGTGATCAACTTAAAGACCAGGACTTAGTCACAGTGTTGCCCAGAATAGCTGGTTTGGGGTATTTGAATTACACTTTCTCTTTTCCTGTGCCACTATAGAACAAAAATCGAATGAAACAGTCTCTGGACTGTAATGATTAAGTTTCATTTTTTTCTGAAAGCTTATGTTTTATCAGAGATCACAGTGGTAGCATCCAGGGTTTGTTTCCCTGATAAGTTCTTTGTTCATTCATTTGAGATATGGAAACATACGTACCATGGGAATGTTTTTGTAAAAGAGGAAACTCTGGGGCAAAGCATATTTAATTTCCTTAAAACAACAGCAGCAACCACAATAACAGGTATCAGAATCTTTCCCACTATTTAGACCATTATCTATCTGCTATTGTTCTGGCTCCATTTTCTCCAACCCCTAGGCAACAAGAGAAAACCAAATTTTACCAGGGATATTGAAAACTTAAGTAAGACAAGGAAAACGAGTATTTTAAAATAATATTTAAGAGAATGCCTCACGGAGTCAATGGTTTTTGTGTGTGTTTGTGTTCTCCATATGTTCTGTGTGTGTGTGTGTGTGTGTGTGTGTGTGTGTATGAACCTTTCTTTACCAAGTTATTAAACTCTGGAATTTTTTAAGTTCACAGGAAGGGCTTAGGTTTCAGGGACTATAAAATGAAGAAGTTGAACTATTGAATTAATGCTTGGCTGTAAAAGTCATTGCTTAAATACAATTGATTCAACACATGTTATTGTGAAGAAATACTTCCAGGCTGGTTATAATTTATTCTCTAAATCACTCTGTGTAAAAGAAAAGTATTGTTTGTAGCTTTTCTCATAAGAATAAAATAGCCCGTTTGTGTTTCTTGGTTAACTAGCAAATACTGAGTGATTTTCCCACCGGCTATATTGCTCTGCA